CACCAATAAAATGATACCTATAGGCAAAAAGGATTAATAAAAAAAATCAAATGCTATGAAGTATAGATGAAAAATCAAAGGATGGAAAAGAATATTTTAGGCAATGAAAACCTGGAAAAAACTGAAATAGTTATCTTAAATTCAGACAAAATGGATTTCAAGGAACAATGGATTAGAAGAAACAAAGAAGGTCACTATTTATTGTTTAAAGGAAAAATTCAACAGGAAGTGATAATAATCATATATTTATGTACCAAATAGCAACATGCTAAACTTCATAAAACAAGTACTAATGCATTAGAAAAATTATATAAATATCAGAACAATTGTAAAGAATAAATTCAATAAACCACTGTAACAAAGAAACATCAACTAGAAAAGGTCAGTAAGGAAATATCTGACAATAATTCAAAATTTGTAGTTCTTTATAGATTTTCAGACAGTAGCACTGCATGTGAGAAGTATCATGCAAGTTTTTTCATTAATTTTATTGAGAAAAAAATAGCAATGTGACAGTTTCAAAACAGATTAAAAGGACAGTTTCAATAATTAATACATTGCATATTGTCTTCATAGTGGCTATTCATAGTACAGGATACAGAGATGATATCCTCTCCAAATACTACTAATACAAATATTTCTTCTCATTGAATTAACAGAAAGTAGCTGTATATCTATTCTATTTTGTATATACAGATACAAAATGTTCCTTCATTTTTATCCCATTTTTTTGTTTAGTTTTGTCAGAGATGGGTATTCTGTTGCCATTTAAATATAGCAGGTTTGTGAATTTGGAAAAATAATCCAATATAATCCAGTTGTCCATAATAGTAGTGGCTTATCCGGAGGACTGGCAATGTCAGAAGCTGTTGTCTTGAGCCCTTTACAGTTCAACATAATAATATGGTTTTATTTTTCATACTTTGCTATTATACCTTTCTGCTGGATAGTTAAGACCAAGATATATAGGTCTTGCAAGTTTTGCCAGTATGTAGCCTGTTTCTTCACTTTAGTGATGGTTGACTTTGCTATGTAGAAAAGTTTTAATTTGATTTCATGTCATTATTTGTTTCTTGGTACTTGAGCAACTGAGTTTTCCTTTCAGAAAGTCTTTGGCTATATCTACATGTTGTTGTGTTTCACATATTTTGTATTTCTGCAGATTAAATGTTTCTGTTCTAATGCTAATATCTTTGATTAATTTTGAATTTACTTTGGTGCAAGACACAGAAATGAATGTTGGTTCAATCTTTGTTATGTGGTTATCCAGTTTTCCCAGCACCATTCATTAAAGATCTATCTTTCTTATAGCAAATGAATTTTGTCCCTTTTTTAAAGATAACGTAGTTTAGTGCACTTAGTCTTGTATCTGCATTTTATATTTGTCCTCAGTAAGTCACAAGTATATTTTGTTAATATTATGCTCTTTTATCATGATAACTTTGTTGCAGCACTTTAAATCTTGTACTCTGATGCCCTCTGCCTTGGTCTTGTTCAAGTTTGCTTTTCTAAATATATGGCTCTTCTAATTTCATATGAATTTTAGAATTGTTTATCTCATTTTCCATGAAATGTTGTTTCTTTTCTAACTGGCATTGTATTATATGTATATAACTGTTTTGGAAGTATGATTATTTTGACTATAGTAGGTTTGTTGATCCAGGAAGAGGAAATAGTTTTCCAATTTTTTTTTTAGATACTCATTGACCACATTTAAAATGTCTCACCCATAACCAAATCATAGTGCAATAAAACTAGACATTTATAGCAAAACAAATTATTCAAAAACATGAGACATAGCAATACACATTTGAATAAGCAATGCATCACAGAAGAAAGAAAGAAATTAGAGAGTTTCTATAATCAACTAACAGTGCAAGTACAACATAGTAGAACAAATGGGACACAATAAGAATAATCTTAATAGGAAGGTTTAGTGTTGAATATTCACATCTGAAAAATAGAGAGGGCTCAGACATATAACCTAATGATGCAACTCAAAAAATTAAGCATTCAAGAGCTATCTGATTTATGAGCTATTACAAAAAGGGAAATTATAAAGATCAGATCAAAAGTTAATAGAATTGAGAATAATAAAACTTTAAGAATCAATGCATTAAATATTTTTTGCTCAGCATCTCATTTTGTAGTTTAGGCTTCACCTGAACTCATTATGTAGCCCAACCTGGCTTAAAGCTATCAGTGGTCCATTTGTCTGAGCCTTTATAGTGCTGGGATTAAACGTGTATGCTACCATGAATAGTAGAATTCAAAAGCTGGTTCAGTCAAACAACACAATGTAGACAACATTATAGCATACATTACAAAAATAAGGAAAGAAAAATATCAAAATACATGTAATTAGAAGTGAAAAAGGAAAAACAGTCACAACAGATTCTGCAAAAATCCAGAGTACCATCTGGAAACAGTTTAAAAATCTGTAGTTTAATACAATAGAAATTCAGGGCCAGAGAGATAGCACAGCAGTCTAAAGTGCCTGCTTAGGCAAACTTAGGCAGGATCAGGGGACCCTGTTTTGATCCCCAGTACCACATATTGTGCCAGACCTGCCCCCTACCTCAGAGTAAATTAAAAATTCAAAATGGATCAAATATATAAATATTAAAGCAGAAGTTCTTAATCTCCTGGAGGACAAAATAAGTGAAATTTTTAAAGACACAGATATAGGCAAACATTTTGTCAATAGAATACCAGCTGCACAAGAAATACTATTGAGTCAACAAATGTGATAACCTTCTGCATATTAAAAGGAGATATAAAACATCTAAAGGTACAACCTACAGAATCAGAAATTATTTTGTCATCAGAACTCAAAGAAGTAATATTGTGAAAAAATATATACACATATTTTAATTTTTTAGTATTTTTATTACATGGTCTACAGGGTCTCACTACATATATAGGACTCATAGTGATACACCTGTGTTCAGCATCCAAAGAGCTGAGATTACAGACATGGACCATCATGCCCAGAGTCAGTCGCCCTCTCAGCGCACCCTGGAGGTGGAGCGAACTCAACACACCAGAGATCAAACCCTGGCCCCAGGATCTGCCTAAGCAGGCACTTTAATCCGTTGAGTTATTTGGCCTGCCCTACATATATTTTATATGATATAATAAAATAAATAAATGAATTTGATGCTGGAAAAACAAAAGAATGTCAAGGGAATGGGAAAACAGAATTGAAATGTGTTATATGCATGTACCATTTCCATACAGTGAAAGTAATCATTATATACATCAAACATTTACTAATAATAGTCAAAAATTATTTTGTTTTTTAGTTAATATAATTCTTGTATATGACATTGTAGGAAAAAACTAAACACTGACTATGATATAATCAGTTGCATAGTACTATCCTAAAGGAGCTAAAACAGGTGATAAAGAAAGATAGAAAAAGAACTCACAAAAACTAGGCACCTAAAACTTAAAGATCTCCCAAAATGGGTATCTTAAATGAAAACCCTCTTTTCAGATAAAGAACAAGTGTCTAATAAATATGTGAGAAAGTGTTCAATATCATTTGCCACTTGAAAAATGCAAGCTACAACACTTGAGACTCCAACTCACTCCAGAGATAATGACTGTATATTATATAAAACCAATAACAAAAAATGCTGCACAAATGATGCAAATCAAAAAACTTCTTCATGGTTGGTGCAAATGTAACCTGGTTCAACCCATATATAAATAGGTATAGAAATTCCTCAAGAATTAAAAAAAAACGCTTTGATTCAGCTATTGCTTTCCTTGGTATCATTCTTAAAGTGCTAATGACATCACATAAAGATAATACATATGCACCCATATTTATGTGGTAACAGCACAACTTATAAAGTATAAGATTTGAAAGTTTATTATATGTTTGTCAACAGATCATTTGATAAAGATGCATTGTAAAATAGGAAAATACTTACCAACATTTATATGAGATTGCAACTTTACCTTGACAAAAATATGACAAGCTAAATAGCAAAACTATAAGTATATATCTCATAAATAAATATACACAATAGCCAGATACTGTGCCATAAAATGATAAACTGTGTCATCTGTAAGAAAATGAATGCACCTTGAGACTATAATGTTATGTGAAATAAATCAGATGCATAAGCTTAAATACTGCATATTTGCCCTTATATGTGAAAGACAACATATAATTAAAGGCAAAAATAGAAAAAAGGGTTCTGGGAGATGGCTCAGTAGAATAAGCACTTGCCTGGCAAGCACAAGCACCTGAGTTCAATCCCTGGTTCCACAAAAAATAATTAGAAGAAAGATAAATTTAAATATCAAAATGAATCTTTGACATATGGTAATGGAATCTGTAGTCCAAGAGATAGGAGAGGTGGAGAAAAAAGAAATGAAATTAAGTAGAAGTTGTTGTGGAGTGCGTGTATATACATCAAGTCCCTATGAGCAAATTGATCATAATGTACTTCTAATACATGAATACATATAAACAGAATATATATCTCAAAAGGTCTAGAGTTGTAGAAAAGGGTAAGAAGGAGACTGAAGATGTTAAGCTGAAATAAGAACTGTCAAGTATATGTATTAACTACTCACAATGAATGGAGTCCAACATGTATTAATAGAAACATTAAAATATACAAAAATGAATGGATTGTGCATTAAAAATCTAAATTGCTGTTCTTATATTTAAAATTTTAAATAAATAATGAAAAAGAAAACTAACCGACATAGAGAATTCCTGGTCTCAATGTCTTCATTGATCAATTCTGTGAAACACCTAGCAAAGAAATAATTATTTTAAAACTCTCAAAATATAAAAAATGCTTATCAAAACATTTATGAGGAAATTTTAACCTTGACACAAAATATGACAAGTTAAGCAAATAAACTACAAGTATATATCTCACAAATATATATACAAAATTCCTTAAATATTTTTCAAAAAATTCAATATTATGTACAACAAAGTGATCACTGTTCATTTTATGTATGACACTTGTCTGGGATGAAGGGTCAGTTAAACTTATACAAAGTTTTTTGTTGTTGTTGCTTTGTTTTGTTTTTTCTGGTAACTGAACGCATGACCTTGTGTTTCCAGGCAAGCACTTTGCCACTGAGCTATATCAATAAACTTCCAAAAACAAATTTATCTTTTCAGATCTTTCCACTAATTTCCAGATTCATGTATACAACTGTCTTTTATGAAATTTATATTTTCATATCTAATTAAACTGTATATTTTTATATTGGAATAAAAAGTCTTTGTATAATAATGCATATATGTTTACAGTACATAGCATATACTTTCATCACAAAAACTGGTATATATACATATTGTACCTTCTTCATTTCTGCTTTGTATCAATTTCTTTTCATCTCATCTCCTTCAAGAAATTCAATATCATAAAGGAAGCATATAAAACTATCTTAATGATAATGTACACAGAAAATTTAAACATAAGAAAGAAGGGGTTAAATGACAGTTTTTGAGCTTCCAAAAACTAAGATTGAGCAAGACAATGAGACCCAGGGACAGAAGTAAAGAAGAAATAGCTTGTAAAGTAGAACAGATTCCCAGATTTTTAAATGACATAATAAACAAAGGAAGGCTATTTTATCA